ATTCAAATTAAAATTGAAGAGAAAATTTCATTTGTATGCAGGCTTGTATGTATGTGTGTGTGTGTGGGTGTATGCGTGTAACTGTGCTTCCTTCCAGATGTCATCAATCTATCAATTCGAAATTATCAATAATCAGATTTGTCGATTCTACAATGTTGGCTAGAAACTGTCGATCCATCTAACCCTGTCTCTCCTCCCCCTAACAAGAATTGTATGTATATATTATACATGACTTTTACTAACAGCTGATTTCTGTAACACTACCAACGACTATAATCATCAACAGTATCAACAACATTTGTCCTGAGTGGTTGGTATTCATTCTACGTATTTTTGTTTAGATCTAATTAAAGTGTGTGGATTAGGCTAGACAATGTAGGCAATGTTGTTAATCTAACCAGCTGAAATCTATACACTCGTCTAGAATGAATATTGTGTAAAGATGTTAATCTCTTTTATTATATTGTAAATGATTATGCAATATTTTATGTAATATGTAAATATTAAAATGATTGCGTAACCACAACTTAGGGGTGTTTTCGATTAATTCATGATTGAGCACGTATAGATAGATATTTTATTGCTCACTTTGTTTTTACTATGTTTCAAATGAAAAAAAATTTGTTTACAGAATTAGAAAATAAACAGAACTATTCAATTCACTTACTGTATCATATTAGAGATTAGATAATGGTGATTAACAATAATTTTTATTGTTAGTATGATTTAAGTAATATTATCTCTAATAATAATTATAAAAATAAATAAATAAATCATTTGGTATAAGGTTGGGAAAGTTGACAAGCTTCACTTTCTCTTATGACATGTTAGGACGCTCGCCGACCATGCACATGGTGCGGAGTTCGATCCCTGGCCGACGTACCCCTTTGCCTCGCTAAGCCAGTAATGGAACTGGTAAAGAGGAAAGGTTGGGCATGAGGCTAGCAACCCCATCATATAAAAATAAACACTGCTACAGAAACTTCAAGCCTCTAGCTTGAAGCCCTATGTTCCACTGGGAACGTGAAGGAATAGAAAAAATGTTTGAAAACGCTGTCTGGTTTGGTAATAGAACGTCATCGCTATCATCACTGTTACTTGAATTTTCCCTTCTTTTATATTTGGCATGATTACAGACTGAAGACAGCCGAACAGAGAATAATAATAGCTTTATTCCAAACAGTACTTTTGGTACAAATATGAAAATTTCAGCACGTAATACAATACTGCATCTAATTTTCTCGTTACAGGGCTAACAATACAAATAGGGCATTTACATTAATAATAATTAACATTATTAATATTGTTCAATAAGAAGTGAATATTCAAGTATTGGTTTTGGTAGGGATTTAGTTTGATTGTTTGGAGGATTTCATCATGAGCTGACATCAGTTAGAGAACTATTGGAAAACCTGCAGGGAGTACTGGACAGCTGTTTCGTCCTGGTTTGGGACTCTTCAGCATTACGCCTTGTAACCAGAAGGTCCTGGGTTCGAACCCCGGTGGGTGTGTACTGATGAAGAGTCCCAAACCGGGATGAAACAGCTGTCCAGTACTCCCTGCAGTTTTTTCAATGGTTCTCTAACTGATGTCAGCTCATGATAAAATCCTCCAGCCAATCAGAGAAGTGAATACAAAATTAAATCAAGTGAAAATACTAGTGACAATGTAATAATGAGAACGATAAGAACAACAATGCCATTTACCTAGAGTTCCTCGGTAAGTTGGTTATTTCCTGCCTTACACTTTTCTGGTCACATAAAATGTATGCTAAATTAGTTATCGTAGAGTTTTCATACTTAATCGTACGAGCATACAGTCTTCTATAGTTGCTTCTAGTTCTGCCTAATGAGACGCAAGGAGAGAGTTGTGTATAGAGAGGATGTTCAGAGTCTGATAGGATAATATTTGCTAATTTCTTCCAGGAGTCCATGTGTTTATCTACAACAGTATTAACGAGTTGGTTTAGCAACACCCCACTCGCCCTACTGACGGCTTCTAGCACAGTATAACAAAGTCTTTCTTAAGTAGCCCAGGAAAGATTAAGGGGGAGCAGTAAAGAAGTATAGGCAGAATACAAGAATTAACAAATGGTAACAGTAGAGACAGAATGATACCAGATCGTCTTAACTTCCTTACATAGAACGTCAAACGAAATATCTTTCTGGAAACTAACATGATGTGGGAAGATAAGGAAAGGTGGTTAGAGGAAATAGATAGTTCAAGATATTTAAGAACATTCGATTTGGTTTCAACTTCAATGCCGTCTATGATGGTGGAACCGTCCTAACTAACCAGTTCATGAAAGTCACCCTTGCGTGACAATTAAGACCATTTGAAGAAGACCAATCACTGATTTCTGATAAAAAGTTATTCATTTTGGAACAGTCTGACTGAGGAGTAACAGGCATAGCAACAGTAAGATCATCGGCATACTTAACAAAATTAGCTTTGTCAGAATGGGGAAAATCATATTGAAAGAAGGAAAACAGAAAAGGAGGAAGTACAGCTCTCTGAGGAACATCAGCTGGAATAAGTGAAGCAGTAGAGGACTTCCCGTTGTAAACAGTGTACTGCTTCCTATCAGAAAAAATAGGAATGCAACCACTTGGTAATCCAGCACTGTGCTTGTGATGCAGTAAGCATGTTCAACAAAAGAGGCCTAGGCACAGAGTCGAAGGCAGATGTGTAATCTAGGAAGGCACACCAAACATATTTGGTATCTCTATCTAAGGTAGAGACAATATTATGATATAAGATGACAGTGGCATTTAAAGTACACCTACTATGTTTATAAGCAAATTGATTAGAAGGGTCGTTAAAAGCCTTCAATGAAGGTTCAAGGTTACGCAATAACAGTCTTTCCATTATTTTAAAAAAAAAGTTGAAGTAATGTGGTTTATCACGTTGGCGCTAGTTCGAAGTGGGATATTCCATGCAGTCGTTCCCATTTTCATATTTTACAATTAATTGGCCAGTAATCACACTGTAACAACAGAAGACAAGGGTCAGGCAACAGATCCTTTATTAAGGAAAATCAACACATATTTATAGATTTTAATGTACATTATTGTAGATTATTGTTAGTAGAAAATACAGTCTTTTGATTGGTTTTTTCTCACAGAAAGTTAAGCTTGCATCTCTTTGTGGCTGTGTCAGATCATCCATATGCTAACTGTATCCGCCTACGCAAAGCCTTTGTTCTCATTTTCTCACCACCAATATTGGGGACATAAACATTGACGTCAATTACTGTCTACCAACTTTGGCTAGCAGCCAGCTCTCACCACAACATTAGTCAGATGCCTAAAACTACATACCACTGATTGGATGAAATGAGCTAGTTCTATACCTCCCACATCAACCAGTAGGGCTTGCCAACTAGTCAGACCAAAGTGATCTAAATACCAGACATCTGTTTCGCTCGTCTTAGGTCCAGCTCGTCGGAGGTTTTCCAGTTTGACTCAGTTCGGAGAGCCGAATCGGCTGAGAGCACCCAACTTCTACTTAGCTACTTGGGTGAACTTGTAATTCCATAAGTGCTCATCTCAACCAATCAGTAGCATGTATATTTTTATGTATTTAGGCTTGCTATCTTGGTTGCCATTTATGGTACCAAGCGGATCACATATTGCGATCTGAATAATTTTGGGTACCTAGGAAACCTTGGTGAAATTTCACATCGAACTGTGTAAATTACAAAATTAATTTGCAAACTGAGAATTGGAAATTGATTAGAGCTATAGAGTGAAAATTGATAAAAGTTAGAATTCATGCATCATTGTAATCAGCTGACTGAAAGGCGAAACTATTTATCCAGTTATGGGTTCGCACTGTGACCGATGTTCTTTCGTTGACAAGGATCCTTTGACTGATGAAATTTATTTGGGGGATGATATTGTTGGATTCAGTTTCATTTCTGCTGCCATAAGTATCCAGCACTCATATTTACGACTATTCATGTATTTTTATTATTATTATTGTTTCCTTTAATTCCTACAGGAACATAGGGCTTCAGCCGTGCATCTCCATTGCGTTCGATTCTCTGCTAGAGTCTTCACCTGTCTCCAAGTCTGTCCACACGTTTTCATCTCCTCTTCACATGACCTCCTCCATGTCACCCTTGCACTGACGACCAACTCGCCGCTTCCCATTCGGATTCCACTCGAGCGATGGCTTGTCTAGTGATGTCACTCACTTGATGGTTTCCTCAGAGTATGACCAATCCATCTCCATTTCTTCCTGCCTATTTGTTTCACAATCGGTTCCTGCTGTGTTGGTCCGCTCCCAGAGATCTCTGTTGCTGATCTTTTCTGGCCAGCCATCTGATCTTGAGTATTGAGCGAAGAAAACTGTTAATGAAGGTCTGTAGTTTGTTTGAGATGCTCTTTATGACGCGCAGTGCAAGTCTCTGATCCATCCGTATAGTAGCACTGACTGGCTTCACATCGGAGTTGAAAATCCGGATCTTATCTTCGTTTTGATGGTGAGTGCTGTTGACCTCCACACAGACTTGAGAGTAGTGAAAGCTTGTCTTGCTTTTCCGATCCTTGCTTTGATATCCTCGTCAGTTCCGCCTGTAGTTGAAACGATGCTTCCCAGGTAGGTAAAGGAGGTTGTTTCTTTCAGATTTCTCCCATTTATGCTTGTTGTTGTCTGTTGTTGTTGTTGCTGCTGGTGTTGCCCAGGAATCTTCATCACCTCTGTTTTCTCTATGTTCACCTGAAGTCCTATCTTTTCTGGATGCTTCTTCTGCCAACTTGTTACTTTTCGCTTGCATATCTTCCAGTTTGTGAGAAATCAGTCCAGATCCTCCAAATTTTTTGTGTACACTGGAATAATCGTATCCAAAATCCAGTTCCGTGTTACCATTATGTTAAATACTATCACCTATTCTATTTGTATACAACTGAATTATTTTCACGAGAACTCTTTGATTCAATAGGGAAAAAAAAATAACGCTACTGTATTTGAAATTTCTTTCTATTGGTTTTATTTAGACTGGATATATACCTCAAGAACACATGGATGACAACAGTCAATCAAAAACACTCTTAGATAATATGACATCAACTTATGATCAATTACAAAATCCAAATAAAAAGACTAAATTAACTTATTCTTATGAAAAGACAACAACAACAACGCTACTGCTTAACTCGACTTCATCATCCTCTTCATCGCCTTCACTGTCTTTTAATCGACCAAAATCATCATCCCCATCACATGAAGATTCAAATTATCTGATGTTAAATGATTTGATGAATTCCAGTGATAATTTCATTCACACAACAACAACGACAACAACAATAAATGATGCTAGTAAAAATTTAAACCAAGCAAATATACTACTGAATAATAATAACTCAGAAAATACTTCAAATATGCATATTTCTAATCAAGAAGATAATGAGAATAATGAAAATACGAATGATACAGTAGACGAAGACGAGGATGATGATGATGATGATAATGACGGTGATCGTGATGAGGATGGTGACGGAGATGTTGATGTATGCTGTTATAATCCATCTATGGTAATATCAGATAAAGCTTATTCTCAAATGTCATCATTTAAACAAACAAACGATCGATGCTCACTTAATACTACCACCAATAATAATGATAATAACAATTATGAAAGTAGAGAAAATGATACATATTTAAGCGAAATTACTGATAATAATAATAATAATAGTAATATGAAAGATGTTTATTTAATAAATAACGAATCAACAGATATGATCCCATTAGTTAAAAAACAAAGATATTCTTCATCGAATGATTTGAACCCAGTGAATGCGTTAAACGAACATGAAGCAGAACAGCTTTCATCAAATACAAGAATATCTACATCAATATCACAAGGAATATTAACTCCTTTGGATAAATCATCAGCATTTCAACGCATAGAGTATAGTGTCAATCAAGCCTTATCGTCAAATGAAAGTATACCATCTACACAGAATGATTTCAGAATGAATGAATCCAATGAAAGCATTCAATTAAATAATAATAATAATAATCACACTGACTATAAATTTAAAGAATTCCAATCACATTTTGAATATCCAAGTCAGTATCATCTGAATTATCCAAATATTCATACTAATACTACCATAAATAATAGTAGTACTGTTACAGGAGATCACCATCCTCATCCTCACCAATCGCATTATCCTTTAAACAGCCCACATCGTCATCACCAACATCATCACCATCTCCAAGAGGAACAACAACACCGACAGCAAATTAAAGACTATTCATCATGCTCTACATCATCACCATTACAAAATTATTTTCCATCCTCATTACCATTTGAACACTTGTCACGTTATTCAGACTATAATAATAATAATAATATTACTAGCAAGAATACTGACAATAATAGTAATAACAATATAGGTTTCATTAAAGAATCTAATCGTCTCAATTTAAATAGTGCGCAAAATGAATTGATCAATCATTCAATGTTCAATAAAGATATTGAACATTTACGTAAATCAATCATGAATAAAACTATCCCTCCATTGAATAATATTAATGATAATTATAATACTGAGAAGCTGTTAACATTTAATCAAAGTTTAAACAGTAATAATAATAATACACTCAAACATACTCCTCATTTGAGTAGTATATCAACTACAACAACTAATGAACATTTGCTAAATAATCGACATATAGAACCACCATTTCCGTCAGTTATTTCAAATAATTTGAACGAAAATATAATTCCTAGACTAGTTTCACATTCAATTGTTACACCGCTTCAATCGAATCATTCGTCGTCAAGAACAATACCATCATATCCAAGAAATATAAATGAATGTACAGAAAATCTATCAAGATTAGGACATTTAAATTGGGCGTCAAATAACAGTAATAGCAACAATAATAATAATAATTCGTCACATCCGTATAATCGAGGACAAACAGGGTAAATTAATCATTTTTAACCAACAATCATGTATATTCTGAATAACTTTCACATATGTCCTATTTATTTAACCTTTTCTTTTTTTAAGAAAGAAGAAATAGTCATTGATCGACTTCACTGTGTAACGGAATTATTTATTTGCAACTCGATTATACAGATATGGGCAAAATACCTCTGCCGTATAGTCGAATTACAATTGACATATATATCTTTGGTATTGTGATGCTGCATTGTCTTTCGTATTGTTCCTCCTTGTCTACCTGTCATGTTTTTCATGTTGTTTCTCAAGCATCATTCATTAAATCCATCTCTCCGCCATCCGATATTCATGACACTGATGTACATATTTATATCTGCTTCTTTATACTACTTAAAAATCTTTTCAGTAGCATACATTGCAACTGTTGCGTAACAGTGATAGATATCTCGATAGGAGGATAATGAAACCTCTTCAGATTACAGACACACCTTGTCAATAAGTCACAATACTCAGGAATTAGAGTAAAAATGAAGACTTCATTTTGAAGTCATTCTTGAAGAGACTCAACTATAGGTTTCTTTCTTTTAGGTTAATTTGTATTTCTCTTTGACTGACCGTTCTGCATCAAAATGCTGGGCTTCTGTTGACATACCGGCTCTCAGTATGGACGCTTTGATGTCTAGGGATTAATGTGAAGTTATTTTGGTCGTCAGTGACTAGCAGTGGAGAATCCAGGAGGCGGATTTCGTCCTATTTGGGGCTCGTATCCAGGATTCCACTACTAGACACCACCGATCAAAATAACATTTTGTAGGGTATAGATTACAATTATTGAGGCAATTTATACTTCAATTTCACATAATTTTACCATTATGACAGAGGAATTCAGAGCATTTTTAGAATTAATCATTGTTATTCAGAAGTCAGTGATTTGGATCCCACCAGTGTCCAGATTTTCTTTCGAATTTCATCTGTTGATATCTTACTTCTCCTTCTGATTTCTATATGACTTTAACCGACACGAGACCTAGCTGGGCAGTCAGTGTAGTGATAAACCAACAGCTACATAACATTCATTCACATGATAGTTGAGTGTTACTCATGATACTTGCAGTGAAGAGATCACCTAGTCAGCAGCTGTGTGTTACAAGTCAACTGGCCTAATAATCCAGAGGCTACAGGTTCAAACAGCGTAGCGATCCAGATTTTCATTCCATACTGAATCATCATCCATAGTACTAATAGCAGTCTGCCAACATAAAGCAACTCAAGTATATATATGTGGCACAACCACCAGCCGATGTGATAGACGAGTAACTGTTCACTCATTTGACTTGGTGGACCCTTCTGGTTACAACTTCTCATTTGAACTTCAGACAATTCATCCTGTAGGCAGTCGCGAGTGACTAACAGGTTAATTACCAGGTAGAGAAATGGGTGCGTTCTGATGAAGAATCTCAAACTAAGATGAGAGCAGTCCGGTACTTCATGGTATTCATTACTTTTCTAGCTGAAGCCAGTTCTCGATCAAACTTGAAATTGACCGAATACCTGTAAAACAACTTTTGAAAAATGATTAAGTCATGCTACTACCAAATGAGGTGCACAAAATTCCAACATTTGTGCTTTGAATACCTCATCTTGTGTGTTGGATCAACTGATTTTTACATTCTGAACTTGATCATTACGAAATTGACAAAAGTTGCGAAATACAGATAAAATGATGAACGGATGGTTCAAATCGTCAAGGGCATTATAGTTTATTCAATACCGCAGATGCGCCTAGCTGATCATTGTCAACAGCTGGAAAGCCTAAGTCCACAGATTTCTGATTAAATGTTTCGAATAATCTAATATCAAATTCAAATGAGTAGTAGAAACCAGTCTCTTAGGTTGAAATGTATAGAAACCAGCAGTCACAAAGACCTAAATAGAGTGATGTTGGTTGCTCCTCACTGACTGGTTACCCCGCATAAACGTCCTCTAACCTGGTAATTTTTTACTGATACTTTAATGATCTTCTTTAATATGTATTAAGAATCTGTCGTGAGGATTTAATCTTACAAATCATCCCATTTTTTTCTAAACTGTATTGGAAAAATGAGGTTCATAATATTACCAATAATTCCAACCTCTCAAAGATTCTAATGTGAGTAGAAGTTATCATGAGGGACATTCTATATTATCTCTACCGTTGAAAAGTACCATTAAAACTTTGTGACTTTTAATAATTGCCAAGCCTCAAACTCACTTGAACTTCCCTTCCTCTTTGATGAGTCTCTAAAATCACTTAATTTTAATATTACACATTAGTAGAGAATAAAAATCAACGGGAGAGATTTGACAGAGGTTACCTCCCTCACTTATCTGGGAAGCATCGTTTCAACTACAGGTGGAACGGACGAAGATGTCAAAGTCAGTCAGAATCGGAAAGGCAAGATACGCCTTCATCAACCTGAAACCAGTTTGGAAATCTTCTGCACTCCTCAGCATAAAGAACAAGATTCGCATTTTCAACACCAATGTCTAGTCGGTTCTTTTATACGGGTCAGAAACTTGCACTGTGTATAACGACTTTTATCAATAGTTGCCTTAGCTCCATACTGAAGGTGAAGTGGTCGGTGAGAAAGAATTAGCAACAAGAAACTGTGGCTAGGAACAAACTAACCAAGAGCTGATCGCTCAACAAATATGTAGGAGAAAGTGGAGATGGATAGGGCATACATTGAGGAAGTCGCCGAATGACATCGCACACCAGGCACTGCCTCGAGTGGAATCCTGTTGGGAAGCGACAAGTGGGTCATCGGTGCTAGGGTGACATGGAGGAGAACGTGTGAGGAAGAGATGAGATAGTTTTGTCAATCGTGGACCCATCTGAAGAGGACAGCAGAAAACAGGACAAAGTGGAGATGTGTTGTTGAAACTGTATGTTTCACTCGGAACTCAAGGGAATGATAATAATAATAAATAATAGACAATAAAAATTCGTGGATCTTGGGATTCTATCCCATTGGCGGAATGGCTACTGGACTCATCTGACGACCTAATGGTCCTAGGTTCGACCCCATAGTGGTGTCATAACTATGTACTGCTGAATAGAGTTCCGGGTAATATCGATTCATGATGGAATCTAACTTATCTTCTGATTGCTATTAACTCCTGATAACTGGAAGGCAAAGACGTAAAGAATTTTCAAGATTATCTTATACCTTAATCATACTTTCTTTTACTTCATATTTTTTGAAAACATACAAAATAAAAATAAACTTAACTAATTTTAATTAAATCAGCAAACAGCAACAACAGAGTAGAACAAAAAGAAGCCAATCTGGATGAGAGAAAATCAATATCTTGTTGTTCTATAATTATTAATTTAAGCATGCATGTCATTATATTAACATTTCGTCCAAATGAAGACTTTTCTACAGGAAAGAAAGAAATATATAAATGCATATCTCTGTGCATTTACATTTTGTGTTTGTATATCTTAAAATTATCAACTCCTCATCATTCAATCTGATAAAAGAAAACAGATGAAGAAGAAATAAAAGAGAGAAAAGAAGTGAGAGTAGGCAAGATGAGAAGACAAAAATAAAATGTAAGGAAGATAGAAACTTGAAAAGAACTTAACAACCGGAACTTAATTGTCAAAATATTATTGGCAAATAGATGGCAAGAGAAAAGAAAAGATATAAGGCTAAATATTGAAAGCTAAGAAGAAAAGAAACAAAAGAGGGAAGGAGGTGAGCAGGGGAATAAAGATGCATGAGAGAGATAGAGGATGAGTAGAGGAAGGGGGAGAGGAAGAGGAGAGAAGATAGATTCTTTAGATTTAATGACAAGTATAGAAAGTCATTTTGTTGTAATATTTTCGGGATTCAATGGAACTTTTCGAAAAATCTCTTCTTTTAATTACAAGTTATACGTTTCTGTTAATGCTTTACTCGGATATAACTTCCCACTTGGGGGGTAAATGTAATGTTGATAGAGTGTAAGCGAAATTATTTGATTGGGCACTAGTAACTACCATGACGAGTCTAGTCCTTTCTTCTCTTTGGTGCAGACTGAATTCTATCAGTTAGGTTTGTAATGTGGCCACCATTCTAGGTAGCTCGCCATCACGGTGCACATTGATTTGGTGATATTAGATGGCTGGAGGCAATCGGCAGGAAGCCTTTGACCTAGGTTTTTTGCTAGTTGGCACTAGTTACTAGTGTTCAATCAAAGTATCCACCACAGTTCTACAGGACGTTAATCGCGAGCCCGAATAGCTCAGTGGTAAAGTCTCTGACTGCAGCATTGGATGATGAGGTTTTGAATCTCCTCAGGGTTGCAGATACGCCTTGCTGATGAGTACCAGTTGGCACGAAACCTAGGTCAAGCAAGGCTTCCTGATGATTGCCTCCAACCATCTAATAAACCACTTATTTTCACGAAGTTGAGAAAAATTCTTAGATTACAGATATTACTGACTTTAATTAACTTCGATTCCTTTGAATGTAGGAATACAGTTAATATTAGGTGATGTAACTGAGGTTTCGTATATCTCTGTATCCTTTAGTGTTGATAGTTTTATTAGGAACCAATAGTTCAACAGAAACCAAACATTTCAGTTCAGTAGATTAGTAGGAAAGACAAACTAGATTCAGACAAAATAATAATTTATCCCTGTTTCACAAAAGGTAGTCATCGTGGCCTAAATAGTCTAGTCAGTAGAGCTTTCGCCTTTGAAACAGAAGCTACTGGGTTCGAGCCCCAGTGAAAACACCATCACTCACTGGGGATTACAGATTATTCAGATGACTAGTCTCAAATGGGGCGAAATGCTCATCCTGGATTTCACTGATAGTCACCATCCACCAAATAACATCAGTGTTAATCCTCGGACACTTTAGGAGTGTTTCCACTAAGAGCCCGTATGTCAGCCGAAGCCGAATATTTCAGTTCAATCACTCAACTGGAAAACCAGAATTAACGAAATAATAACAACTTCATTTCTGAGTTTTGTATGTGTGTAATATCTTTTTTCACTGTCGATTTCGTTATGAATCGTCATCAGTAAAAGAAGCTATTACAGTCATGGAGCTCTGAATAGCTGTTCCACCCTACCTTCATATTCGTCAACAGTGTGAACCTATATGCTGTCCCCTCTCCAAGGACCAAAACCCAGGATTTTCAACTGGCACCACTATATCAAAAACTGACAGAAGTTAGAATTCGCGGGTCATCCGATTCCAACCCAATGACTAAATGTTAAAAGGATTCGCTGTGAAACCTGAAGGTTCCGGATTTAATTCACACTGTTGAAAAGCCTCAAATTAGGACGAAACAGTTTGTGTATGTTTGATAGGAATCAGCTTAAAATCAACCACTGTTTAACTGATGTCGGTTCGTGATCACGTCTGCAGTGAAACAGCTTTATTCTAAGTGATTCATTTGTACACACCGTGTACTGTAGCAAAATGGTTTAGCTCAACTGGACAATACCTGTGATCATTGTACTGAAATCATCACCTGATTATCAGCCAGGTCGTGTAGTTTAGCGAGTAAAGAGCTGGACCAGTAGTTCAGAAGTTACACTTTCAAATCCTGTCATGATCCCAGCTTCCATTTCACCTAAAGTCATCAGTCATTACTACATGGACAATAGTCTACCAGCCTTAGATAGTCTCAGCATTAATGAATTTAAATTATTGATTGCTAACAGAAGTCTATGAGTAATCAGGTACAAAGCAATTTGTACAAGAGTATTTTGTATTTTTGGTCCATTACTGTTTTTTTGTTTTTACAAAATTTGCGGAAACAGATGACAGTGCTATTCTTTCCAAGACATTTTGTATACCTATTTTTAGAAAGGGAACAAAAAAGTGCAATGATTTTTTAAAACAAAATCTACTTTATTTGAATAAGATAGAAATAATTCAAGAAAAAGAGGAGATGTCAACTTTAACACTGATTATTTAGTGTAAAGAGCTTCACTGAATGTCAGCCTTCTACTTATATATATATATTCCCACAATTGTGGTAGGCAAAGTTTACTATTCAGATTTAAGGTAAGTTGACTAAAGTTAAAATTCATGGGTCATTCCAACCCAATGGCTGAATGTTGAAAGCGTGACCAGCTGGTAACTTAAAAGTTCTGAATTCTATTCCTGGCAGGGTCATGGATGAGTACTGTCAAGTAGTCTCAAAGTGCCATGAAATTACTATCCAGTGTTTCAGAGTTTCAAATACTTTTTTTGTTTCTCGCTGATACTGGTTCGTTACTATATGGTACAAGGAAATTAATTAGTCATTCGTAAATTATACTAACTTCTAGCTAACCGTGTTTATTTACCAGCTAATTAGCAGACAAATATTCACCTATCTGTCAGTGTAATTGTACCGAGTGAAATAAGATACCACTTTGTTTATTAAACATTTAGCATGCACAAAAAATGTGAAATTATAAGTATTCATTTAATATTGCATTAAGGGTATTGTTGCTGTGGATTTGAACTCCCGTGGGATCATGGATTTTGTTTTTCCTTCACGTACCTAGGGGGACATAGGTCTTTAAGCTAGTAGCTTGAAGTTTCTGTAGCAGTGATGTTTATTTTTACAGGATGAGGTTGCTAGCCTCATGCACAACCTTTCCTCTTTACCAGCATCATTTCTGGCTTAGCGAGGCAGTGGAGTGCGTCGACCGGGGATAGAATCCCGAACCATGTACATGATCGGCGAGCGTCCTAATCACTGTGCCACCTACGCACGGGGTCATGGATGCACACTGCTAAAGAGTCTTGAACTAGAACGAAACAACTGTCAAGTCCTCCGTGGTCTAGTGCACTGGTGGTGCAGCGGTAGAATACTCACCAATCACACAAGTGGTCCGGGTTCGGTTTCTAGCCGACAAATTTTTAGACTTCGCCTAGTTTATTAGCCGGTAATAATCCCGAGTTAAGGCCAGCAACCTTGCTCGCTAGTGAAACATTGAGCTCAATCTTCAAGCCTTATATCCCACTTGAAACGCAAAGCGCTAGAAAAGAAATGTATTTAAGGTATATTTTGTATCCTATGAAGCCAGTAGGATTATCAATTACTAAAAATTTGCGATTTTAAATCATTTAGTATATGTTTTAAGGAACTATGTGTCCTTGAAAAAAGTGAATATTTTGAGATTTTAGATGATAAGTTGAGGAACCCGCTCCAGTAATCATAACCAAACCATCCACTTTCATTCAATTTATTCGGGAGGAGGAATCTGTGACAATTTCTAAATTGTTTCAGTAGTACAGCTTATAGATCGTTTCACCTTAAAAGTGTTTCTTTTAGTCAAGTGCAACTTTAAATAACCTGCATAGTAGGTAAATATCATGAAGTGGTTAAAGGTCAGTTTATTTCACATTAGGATTGCATACTTCATGAGATAGGCTGGAATCAAGTACATGAGAAACCAATCACTGGATTGTAATTGAGAAAGTCGTCACCTTTTTTTATCAGTTACAGGATTTCATTATGAACTGACATCAGTAAGGGAACCATCGGAAAACCTGTAGGGAGTACTGGATAGCTGTTACGTTGTAGTTTGGGACTCTTCATCAGTACGCACCCACACTGTGGGGTTCGAACCCAGGACCTTCAGGTTACAGGACAAGCATTCAACATTCAGCCACTGGGACCCATGGATTTTGACTTCTACCAATTCGTGATTGTAGTGTGACCACTAGCCAATGTCATCGCTCGCGAGTATTTGTCCTGACACCCGACTTCCCACCAGAACTACCTATCTGAATAGGGCCAGTCACTAGCCAGCATCATTAACTTATACTTATTCACTATATAGCACAGCCACTGATTAGTGGCTTCTTTCACAAAGGACTTACTTGATTCCAAAGACTATCAAGATTCATTATGAAGTGTACTCTGAAATTAATTGATTCTCCGACAGTGGTACATTCTGATTCAACTTCATTCAACATATTAATAAATACTGAAGAACGCTGAACATGATTTTAACATATTTGTCTTTTCTAGGAGGTATAGTATCCGAATGATATTCACGCTGTTTGTAGTAACGTCTTCAAGAGGCAGAGATCAGGTTTTACAGACACTGGGAAATGACACTGCCTAACTCGTATCCCTTATCAGTGTCATCTAATGATACATTCTGTCAGTTTATCTATGTTGAAAAACTAATCAATAAACTTTAAGGTGGATCAAATTCTCAATTTGCAATTGACATAGTTGAAAGTTGAATTTCACCACAGTTCACCTTCTAAAGATGGCATGCAGTTGATGAGCTTGGTTTGAAACGAGGGAAATGGTTGTCCAGTGTTTAGATCAGATCACTTCAATCTGACTAGTAAACACTACTGGTTGATGTCAATGGTATCTAACTACTCATTTCATCCAATCAGTAGTATGTAGTATCGAAATTTAAGGTGACATAGTAGACTGAATAAATATTTTATAATCTTTAATTAGAATATCAAACGCTATTAGCTTACACTTTATATAAAAATACAGTTGTTTTAAATACCCCAGAATAAGTTGGGCGCTTAGTTCGATTAAGTCATTACAAAACTATTTCAAAAATGTCCCTATCGTTTTCCTGAACCTTTTTTTCTGAATAAGCCACAACTTCTTCATCAGAATTTGTCAAACTTTTCTGCTGAAAATTAAAAAACAAATATGCGTGGTCAAACAATATACAAATGTAGAACAAAATGTATTTGTGTGAGGGTCACTGAATGACCTCTAACCAATTAAACAACACGGATACCTTCCTATGTAATTTGTGGTAATGTATTCGAATTTCCATAAATTTGTAATCCACAAATCTAGTGCTCAGCTACATTAATTTTATGCGGAGGCGATTATTTCTTAAAAATGTAGTTTATTAGAGAGATAATGTACAGTAAATTTCATCGAGTCATTCGTTATCTGTAGTGCAATCACAGAGAAGAATTGTACTAATCTGTGCTTATCACTGAAGTCTTGTCTATGGTCTTAAAAAGAGGTGGTCCGTGACCTCATTGAGTGATGAGGTTAGAGGCTCTATCGCTGAGTTATTAGGGGTCTTAAATTACTTCTTTGTCTGGGAGTTTAATGAAATTATTTAATACTTTGACTGAACACTAGGGGTAGTAACTAATGTCATGCGTTTTTAATCCTTCAACTTTTTGGTGAAGAATGAATTCTATCGGTCGAGTTTGCAGCAATGTGGTCATTATGTCATCAGAGTGCACTTCGAATTGTTGTTAGATGCTTGGAGGTAATCGACAGGAAGCCTTGGACCCAGGTTTTATGTTTGTTGGCGCAGTAAACACCTAGATCCATAGCTCCCCGATGGTTGCTTTCAACCATCTAACAAAATTATTTAATATTATATTATAATAAAACTCTTTATGATTATTGTTTCTCTATGTTATCTTAAAATTTAGATATTCAACAGAATTCACAAATACAACAAGACGAAGAAATGCTACAAAAGAGAGTACAACAACACTGAAAGCATGGCTACAAGAGCATATAAAAAATCCTTATCCAACTAAAGGTGAAAAGATAATGCTTGCCATTATAACAAAAATGACACTAACACAAGTATCAACATGGTTTGCAAATGCTAGAAGACGTTTAAAGAAGGAAAATAAAATGACATGGACACCGAAACACAGAGGTGAAGAACAAGCGGATGATGAAGATGACGATGATGACGATGGCGATGAGGATGGCGATGAAGATGATATGGATGATGCCGGTGATAATGCTGATGCTAATGGTCATGTTGATGAGAATGAAGCAGGTGATGATGAAGTAGGCAGTCGTCGTGTTAACCAACGGCATCGTGATGACAGGAATAGAAAAGAAGGCAAGCATAGAAATGTGGATAATAATAATAATCCCGGTGACAATGATCAAGAAGATGAAATGACTGGATCTGATGAAGAATTAAACATTATGGAATTAGCATCCAGTCAAAATCGAAATCATTCCGCGCTAAATAACTACTTTAAAAATTATTCCTCTGATAAGCATAATAAATCTATGGTCAAACCTGATTTATTTAAAACAAATTTTCATGAAAATGAATCATACAACAGTATTAATAATAATAATTCATTAATGAATATGAAGAAATTCGATGAATTCCACCATTTCCCATTGATTTCATCCTATCCAACACCAAATACCTCATTCTTAATGAATCAAATACAACCTAATTTGAATGCTACGACTACTACTACTAATACTGCTGCTAATGCAACATTTGATTCACTGTTCAATGAACAGTATGATAAAATGAATTTAACATTGAATCAATTGAACACATTTAACAAGAATCAGTGTGCCGCACCTCATAAAGCATTTGAAAATAATATAATAATAATAACACCAACAGTGCGACAACACATATAACATATCAGTTAAATAATTTTATTGAAAATCATATAAATGAATTTAAAGATAAAATTGACAAGAAAAAATTTAATGTCAATACAGATAATACGGATGAAGTTCCTTCAACAGAAATGAAGCTAACAAATATGTCGGGTAGAATTCCTCAATCAAGTAAGTTATCCGAATAAATATATATGTATATATAATGATGTTTCAGGGTAGATTGCGTTACGAATCGACATCAGTCAGGGATCATTCAGCAGCTGCTTCGTTCTAGTTTGTGACTCTTCATCAGTGTGCACCCAGGATGAAGCTCAGAACCTTCTGGTGAACTTGCTAGACATTCAGCCATCTAGATGGAATCCAATGAGCTATGAAAATCAACTCCTGTGAATTCGTGATAGGCCATTTTCACCATCCAATGGCATCAGCGGATATCTGTCCTCAAATCAGACCTGGTGGATCCCACTGGTCACAACATCTTATTAGAACTGCAGGAAAGCTATCTGTTGTCTGTTAGTAACGATTAGTAGTCTCGTGTCCTAGCCTGAACGTAGTGGATCCAACTCCATGTGGGGGACGTGGATGCGCAGAGCTGAAGAGTTCCAAACTAAAACGATACGTCTGTCCTGGTTTTTAGTGGTGATTTTTAACTGATGTAGATTCATGGCGTAGTCTATCTTAAAAACAGTCAAGTCCCCAAAACTCACTACTGGAGAATTATTTTCATCACATAAAGTTCATTTAAAAAAGAATAAATTGAAATATTCAAACCATTATATAAGCGGTTCTAAGATTGGAAATGTAAGAGATACATCATATATATATGTATACTAATGATGATTTTAAGTAGATGAAGAATCGCTCATATTAATCAGTTATGTTCTTGTGGTTTAAATGTTTTGATCCTCTGAGTTGGTTTAATCTACATACAATTGTAAAGAGTCCACCCTTTTGCAATAATGGAGAAGATTTTGTAGCCTAGCTGAATGATTTCCGTGTCTGAGCTGAAAATGTTGCCAAGGAAAACAAAAAGTGCTTTGTAATCAAACCACCAAGCTCATAGAACAAACGATCACATCAAAAAGAGTTCGGCTTTTAATGAGTAAAACTTCAGTTTAGTATTTAGATAAATTATATGAAGCCAGTGAAAAACAATAAGCCACACCATCCTGGAGAGAATCAAACACGTCCGGGATGAAAAGCTTTCACCGGAACAGGCTGGATTCAGGGGAAATAAGTCATGCATCAATCAAATCGCAACACTACGTATCATCATTGAACAGGACTTGGAATGGCAGTCAGCTCTCTACCTCAACTTCGTTGACTTTGAAAAGGCCTTCAGCAGACAGCGTTGATCGAGAGGTGATTCGGAAACCAATTCGCTACTACCAAGGGGTGCCGCCGACAATTATACATCTCATCCAACAGTTGTACCGCAATTCTGCGTGCCAAGTGATCCACAACGGGAAACTCACAGAATCCTTCGAAGTGAAGATGGGAGTAAGACAAGCTGGCTGCCTACTATCTCCAGTGATTCTCGTGATTGTGAGCTGTAGACTGGATAATGCGACAGACAGCGGGAAAGAAAGAAACAGGCATAAAATGGACCAACACAAAAAACTTGAAGGATTTTTACCTCGCCGATGATATATGTCTGATTTCCCACAAACTGGAAGATATGCAAGCGAAAAGCAACAAGTTGGCAGAAGAAGCATCCAGAGAAGATAGGACTTGAGGTGAACATAGAGAAAACAGATGTGATGAAGAAATCTGGCCAACAGCCACAGCCACAACAACAACAGACAACAATCAGCATGAATGGGAGAAATCTGAAAGAAGAAACCTCCTTCAACTACTAGCTGCCTGGGAGGCATCGTTTTAACCACAGGCAGACCGAAGTGATGAGGATATCAAAGCAAAGATTGGGAAAGCAAGGCAAGCCGTCATTGCTCTCAAATATGTTTGAAGGTCAGCAGCACTTGGCATGAAGAATAAGATCCTGATTTTCAACTCCGTTGTGGAGTCAGTGCTACTTACTATACGGGTCAGAGATTAGGCGTGTCACGAAGGGCATTTCGAACAAAATACAGACTTTCGTCAACAGGTGCCTTCGCTCAGTACATGATCAAGATCAGATGGCCGGCCAGAAAAGATCAACAACAGGGATCTCCAGCAATGAGCAAACCAACCAAGCAGGAACCGATTGTTCAAAAAATATGCACGAAGAAATGGAGGTGGTTTGGCAATACTCTGAGAAAACAAACCATCAAGTGAGTGACGTCACACGCCAGACCATCGGTTGAGTGTTACCTGAATGGGAAGTGGCGAGTTAGTCGTCAATGATAGGGTAACATGGAAGAGGTCATGTGAAGAGGAGATAAAAGCATGAGGGTAGACGTGGAGTCAAGTGAAAACGTTGTCGGAGAACCGAACACAATGGAGATGTGCGGGTGAAGCCGTATGTTCCTCTAGGAACTAAAGGAAGCAATAATAATAATAATAAGCCCATTTACCGTTTGTTAATTATGGTTCGAACAGTTGAATAATCTTTACGCAAACAAGATTAAGGAAAGCAACATGAACCTTTCTTTACGGATTTACTCCAAGATAGACTGTTGAGTAAATTAACTGTTTAGGAAATGAATTTGAGTACACATGATTAATGAAAAATTAGGCAGCAACTAATATCAAATTAAACTTTAAAAAAATACTAAACTTCAAAAATACTATATTAAACCAAGTTTTCTAGAGTTAATGTCAGAAGACTGAGCGATTCTGACAGGAAACCATGTCTGGAGAAGATTATAATTCTTTATACTTGTTATTCGTGCGTCGGTGGCACAGTGGTTAGGACACTCGCCGACCATGCACATGGTCCGAGGTTCGATCCCCGACCGACGCACTCCTTTACCTCACCAAACCAGTAATAAAATGTCTGTAAAGAGAAAAGGTTGGGCATGAGACTAGCAACCTCATCCTGTAAAAATAAACACTGCTAAAGAAACTTCAAGCCTCTAGCTTGAAGCCCTATGTTCCACTGGGAACTTGAAGGAATTAAAAAAATACTTGTTATTCAATAAATAAGCAACCATAGAAAATCATATACTGTCTAAGGAATCCTCATTCACTGTGATGATCAGAAAAGTTGTCAACGTACTGAAACCGATTGCGAAGTTATTTGAATTTAAACAAAATCTTAATTGATGAATCCTGTAAAGTGTTGAAATGTAGAATAAATAGAGAGTTAAACACATGTATTATTATTCATAATCCTCAGTTACTTAAAAATTCGTAGTGAAAATAAGGCATGAATTTATGAGATATACACTCCCATATCTGGTTAATTGACTAGTTGGACACCACTCAAATCAACCAGTAGTGTTTTCCAGCCATATCTAGGTGATTTGAAAATTCCCATTCAGTCATAGAAAAGAAAAGGCGTTCAGCAAAGAGTTACTCTTTTCGGCGATATCATTCTCAAGCTGAACAAACCGCAAATTTATAGTAATTTCTCTTGGCAACAAAAGGAATATTTCCAAAGATGTGTTAATGCAATTGTTAATTTTTGACAGCAAATTACGTAATTTAGAAGGCGTTAATCGGTTAGAAACTAAAATGAAGTTACAAAAGTAGGTTGAGTGACGTAATCTAAATGCTAGGGTTCAATGAAAAATGAATCAGAGTCAAGTTAATAATCTGAGTAGAATTCACTTGAAAATAAATGAAAATGGAGTTAGCAACAGTCGTCATGAGGGTAGAGATTTAATAGAGGGTGGGGGTAGAAAATAATGCAATTAAGAAACAGACAAACAAAGAAGAAAGAGGTAAGACAAAATTACGTATTTGGTGTTGAGATAGATCAGGACCATTGTAGATTTAGCGACTGAACAAACTTCTTTTGTATGCAGAGTTCAGGATTCAATATGTGAATTGCCATTGCTTCTGCAGTTTGAAGAAGTTTAATTCGTACTCTTTTGGCAAGATTCCCACGTATTGTGTAGATAACTGAGAAGTTGTTTTGTGGGTTTGCTTGGTGTCCGGATTCCATCAAGTGTTCTAGGATAGAGCTGTGGCGGGGGGATCTTCTTTCTCCTTTATATATCTAGGTGATCTAAACACTTCTCGTTTGGGGATAAGCTCGTCAGCGGTGTACCAGGTTTGACTTAGCATAGAGAACTCTATCAGCTGAGCCCAACCGAATTCTAGTCAGCTACTTGGACGAACTGATAACAGATTGAATCAAGATCGTGGTTTGCAATTTACACAGTTTGAGGAGGTGGAATTCCATCCCGTTCCCTTTGAAATGAATGTTTATGCATACTGATGGAGTTCCTAATGTTTCATGCCATTAATTTATGAAATCGAGTTAACTTCAGCTTGCTAACTAGAATGCTCTTCTCATAGAGATTGTAAGTCACCAGCAAGATGTGGTACCTACATAAATTGCAAAATGTTAACCATTTCACTTGTTTAAAATTCTAAAGCGCCATCTTTAAATTTAGTGAGTCAACACAGTCACACATTTTCCAGCAGCCATTGGTTTATCTTTTTGCATAGCGGTTAATGACAGAAATTTGACCATATTTTTTGAAAGACTTAAAATAATTTGGCAATTTTTTGTTTTGTTTGTTTTTAATAACCATCCGTTTTCATTTTAGACTGGACAGACATGATAAACCCGTCATCTGTTATGAAATACGATTCGATACCTTTTGGATCATATTATAGTCATCCTCATCCTCATCATTACAGCCAAAGTATGCCACTGCCGCATTATGCACAGGAGAATTCACAAGTCCCGTCGTATATCCATGCGCTGAATTCATCGAGCAGAACATATCCAGTTAATCCATTACCGATGACAGATTTTATGAATACATCATCAGCATCATCTTCTTCTACAGTTTCTCCAGGGGAACATACTTCATTGTTAATGCCGTCAGCCTCAACAACAACAACGACAACGACTGAAACAAGGGCGACAGAAATGCCAATAACACCAACAACATCAAATTCACTTTATACACAATTATGTAATTTTCCAAATTCAATGCATTTATTATCCCCAACACCCTTCAATTCTACAGATCCCAATTCTGAAGTTGTTAGTATAAATAATAATAGTAATATGCTATCCCTTACGAATATATTAAATTCTAAAGAATTTCTTTCACCTAAACTGAATCGTAATGATAATCATGGTGAAACTTCTTTACCGACTTCATTGTTAACTCCGAATGATACGGTGACCAGTACACTTGGTTACATGCAAAATTCTAATAATATTAATAATAATAAACTATCTTTTCATACAATAGACAATATTCACAATAGTACAGTATCAGAGACAACTACAAAGATATCGACAACATCAACACTAACAGCAGGTGTAACATCACCACCAGTGTCAACGCTGAATTCATTATGGTCACCACAGTTACAGCAGTCAATGCGTGTAGAAGAAAGTAATCTAAGTATGAATTCTGGACAGACAACGGAAACAGCAACAACTACAGGTGGCACATTTTGGCAGTCAACCAACTCCTCCTTAACAGTACCTATTTTATCCTCTAATAATAATAATAGTAATACTTGTACAACAGCTCATAATAACTTGCATGATACATCATCTAAAGCGGTGTCGAATGATTTTACTGCTACCAGTAATAATAATAATAACAGTAGTCGACAACGAATAATCCCGGACGACTTGCACACTTCGCCTACCCTTTGGTCAGATAACCAACTACACGAAACATATAATAGTGAATTAAATCATCATTTATTTTATCAACCTTTGTATAACTCTATGAATACAATGCCTACACGATAAATAGGCATAAACAAGATATTTCTACAAGTAGTTAGTCTAGTTTCCCTTCTTTCTGTAGAATCATGTGTAATTAATTATAATTATAACTCACCGACTCATTCAATTACTCACTCAATCACTCACTCGTTCACTCGCCTTCTAGCTCGCTCACATTCATATTCGCATTCTCACTCCTTAAAATGAAAAAAACAAAAGCACACACAACTAATTTAACTTAATTTCTTGATGTTCACACAGTTTTATCTCAATTCATTCATTGCTTGTTTGTTTTATATACGTATTATTTATCTCTTAAATGTTGAATAATAACACATATGTAGGTATGAATTAATACATTTGAAAATATTAATGATGAATGCATAAGTGAGAATAATTACTGAAATCTCTTTAACCAATTAACCAATTAATTAATTAATTAATAATTTATTATTAATGCTGATTTGACAATGATTTAATTTTGTTGTAAATACAAGCTGACATAGTTGCATTGATAAGAAAATAAACAAAATATTATTTCCAGATGAAATAAACCCTTTTAATTAATAGACTTTTGTTTTCAAAGTGATAAGATTTAGTGAACTAGTAGAAAGTTGTGAAAATGTGGAGTGATGTTAAAGCGCATCCCCTCCCGCCTCCCATTAAATCCACCCGTTTGGATGAGCGGCTCTAGGAGACAAGCGTAAAAAGGGAGCATTTCTGATGTAACTGGCATGAAACCATGGGAATACAGTTTTGATGCGTTCCACAGTGTAGCCTGCTACCTAAATATAACCATCAAACAACTTTCGGTGCCGCAGACTAGTAAGACTTGTTCGACAACACTGGGGAATTTAGGGATATACTGTAACATTACTAGAAATGTGACTTATTCGTTTAAATATATGACTTTCAGTTAACAGGTGACACGTACTGGAGCTTGAGCAACAAGATAGTTTCATTGGCCTTCACATAATATTTATGGTCGATCACCTAGTACATGCAAAATCTGTTTCGGATAAATCGGATCTGCAAGTCAGGGTTTGACTCCCAGCGGAGGCAGTCCTTAGCATCGTCCAGTTTACTAGCTGATACTAAGCCTGGAAAAGAGGGAATATTGTGCGTGAGACTAGCAACCCCACCTTACCCACTATAGTAAATGATTTCGATTGTTAAATGAGGAATCAAGCAACTAGACACTATTTATAAATTATGCTAAAGGAACATAATCCTTCTGTGATAACAGTTCGCTAAATAGCGCATCAAACATCAGATGTATAATCATCACCTTATCACTGAAATTATTTTGGAATTCCGGTTGATTAATTATCCTGGACCAAAATGCTCAGTCTGTCTTAACAACTTGGCTTCTACTACGGAGGCTACGAAAATTACTTTAGGTCAACATGGTGTTATATTGTTGACGTTGGTTAACAGTTCAATCAACGAGGCGTATTTAGTCCTATTTAGGGTTCGTCAGCTGGATGTAATTGTATCCCGGTGAGTAATGTTGTTCGTACTGAAAACTGATTCCTTCATCCGTCTTTTCAAATGTCAAAGAGTTATCTACTAGTCTACTGAGCCATAAAGGCCACCACTTGAGTAGTGGGGATCACCTGTTACTTATTGCAATTATTTTGAATTTTTCGTTGATACCAGCTGCGGTATAGGTAGCTCACATGGCTTACTAACCTAGTGGGTAGCGCCATGACATTTGAAATGACCGATGAAAAGGTGAATTTTCATTACGAATACCATACCACCTTGGATACAAGCACGTCCAGCTGACGAAGTCCGGAAAGGTTGAAACACACCTTAAGGATTGCAGTGTTAGCCATCATCGATGAAATAACATCATTTTGTCATGTTTACTCAAACTGCCTGTTTAATGGGTAAGTAAAATAAAGTTTTTACATTCCTTTTACATTTCAAGTGAAATAAAGGGCTTCAAGCTCGAACTATGAAATTTCAATAACCGCGGTGTTTTACTACGGGATGAGATTGATAGTCTCATCTTCAGCCTTCCCTCTTTACCGCTTAGGCGAAATCTAGGAGTACATTGGGTTGGCAGATATTCCACTACTGAACCCTATACTTCCTTATAAATCACTCGAGAAAGATGATTAAACTGGGAACTTCCGTGATTGTTCATACACTCACTACATTATTTCATGCTCTGTCTAACAAATGTTTGGCTATTTCCTTGTTCAAAATTCAGTTCCATTTAAACAGGGTTAAAAGAGGTTGCTACACATGTAATATTATATTGAAAAATGAGGTAATCGTCTATTTGTTTGACTCAAATATTAGTTGGATGAAAACATTTCGTTGTCGAAGCAAAAGAAACTAAACCTTCCACACGTGGTTGATCGTAAATAGTATTGTCTAACTATTACTATCATTTATGATTCTAACTGTGCGTCTGTGGTATAGTGGTTAGGATGCTCGCCGACCATGCACATGGTCCGGGGTTCGATCCCCGGTCGCTTAGCCAGAAATCAAGCTAGTAAAGGGGTAAGGTTGGGCATGAGGCTAGCAAACTCATCCTGTAAAAATAAACACTGCTAAAGAAACTTCAAGACTACAACGGAGTGATAAAATATTCCCTTGCTTAAACCAAAACTGTTAAGTGGTTAAAAGCAGACGACAAGGAGACATGAGTATTTATTAGTACTCACCAATATGACGCATCTGAAGACTGGAGGGGATTGGTGTCCGCTCATATGCTTGAAATTGGTATCGTCTAGAGCTACAGTCACAGAAATAAGGAATAATACCTTTTGAAGCAAATAGCCATATTTAGTTAAATGTATATGCATTCAGGAATTATAGCAGAAAATACTACTCCTAATCATTATAATATTGATACTGGTATGCCAAAAACTAGTTGAAAGAAACAGACAAGGCAAATTCTGATCGAACATAGTCATATTTTCAAGACTGAAAGAAGATGAGACAAAACGGTGGAGACATCTGTCTGTCCCATTGTTGTTTACTTTGAGTTATTTAATCTCAGATGAGTCATGAATGATTCAGCATTCACAGATTTGTAAGACTATATTACTTCTACTACTACATTACCGATAAAACAATATACGATTTTGACCATGGATTGATATCAGTTAGAGATTTCCCACCGATAACATTGGTTGAAGTCGCACTAAATCACGAATTGGAAGAAGTTAGAATTCATGGGCTGGCCAGTGAATCGGGTCCCAGTGGCTGAATGGTATTTCAGCGCTATCATATCTGTGCTATAAAGCATATAATTTAATTAAACTTAAATCATTATCACTGGATGACGGATCATTTTATATTCGGAAAGACATAAGCCATTGAAGTGATGCTAGATGGTTGGAGGCAATCGGTAGGAAGTCCTGGATGTAGGTTTCATGCCTGATGGTACTTGTCAGCAAGACATGTCTGCAGTTTTGAAGGAACTCATTCCCCTTCCAAGATTCGAACCCGGGTCACCCAGTGCTACAGTCAGAGACGTTACCATTAAGCCATTAAGGCTCACAAATTACCTCCTGTGGGACTATAATGGCTACATTGACTAGCCATTAGCAGGTAATGTCTAGTCCATGTTGTCTATGCTGACTAAATTCCATCAGTTAAAAAATAAGAAATCATCTTAATGAATTTCTTTGTATAGTTTGTCGTGTAAAAAACGGTGAAGATTAATCTTGATAACCTACACTGCTTGTAGTTTAATAATTCATTGGTCAATAAAACTAGTCAGATATTAATTACTGTGGGTGCGTACTGCCGATGATTCCCAAACTAGGATGAAACAGCTGTCCAGTACTCCCTGGTCTTCAATGGTTCTCTAACTGATATCAATCCATGATCAACTCGTAAAAACTGTAAAACAAGCAAATGGATTAATTATCTTGCAAAACGCGGTCACAAAGATTACTCTTCCTGGTTAGCAAATGTAGTGGGGGAAAGTATCTTTTCATTATGATAACAGGACTTCATATGGCATTCTGCTCCAATTTAGAATTCCTTCAGAATCCTATGGAGAGTAGGATCAAGTCTACTGAAGGAAGTGAAACTATGATATTTAAGCTAAGCTGAAGTATTAGTGAACCGAAAATTCAAGCCAAATTTGTGTTCGAAAAACGCATATTCCATCTTTGTCTTAGCCATTAATATAATATTCATTTTACTTAATGTTTAAAACCATTACTATTTGATTTCGTTCAATATCTGAACTTGCTTTGATATGAGAATCAAACTGGGGTAAAGCATAAATCCATTATTTTTTTAAAATTATTGTTAAAATTAATCCTACTCAACATGTATTACATGAGAGGAGAAAAACTGCGTTAATGTTGCCACCAATGCATCAATCATTACCCGACTGGAAGTGTTTAATGAATTGAATAACTCCCTAAGATCATTAGCCTACAGATTTCATTATCACTAAACATTGGCTGCTGAGCTTTACTGTTTAAGTCAGCTAGTTAGACTGAATGTATACGGTCAAGCAGTCACGCCATTTTCTATGCTGTCGTATTATGTTCGGTTGTTTGTTCATTATCTCTAGTTAGTTAGGCATGGATCAATGCTCAACAGTACCGATCTTGAAATATACTTCATACTTTGAACGACTTAACTGCTGTTCTAAATTTGACATACTAACTATCCTCTGGTCAGTGTCGAATCTGTGCATTGGGGCTTGGAGGATAAAAATATGCATACTATTTCATCATCGTGTCACACAGACTAGTTGATATCTTCATCTCCAGAATATTCTTAAGGGGGGTTAGTACCTTGGACATCACAGGGCTGTGAAATATAACAATTTTGCCTATTCATTGAATATAAACTGTATATTGTTTTCAAGAGTTGGTTTGTAAGGATTAGATTTGTTTCTACGAGTTTGACCACGGGTTGATATCAGTTAGAGAACCATTGAAAACCAGGGAGTACTGGACAGTTGTTTCATCCTAGTCTGGGAATCATCGGCAGTATGAACCAGCCACAAGGGGTTCGAACACAGGACTTTCCGGTTACAAGGCAAGCTGGCTCGTATACCATTCAGCCACTGGGACCAGATTCAATGGTCAGTCCATGAATTCTAACTTCTACCAATTCGTGATTTAGCGCGACCACCAACCAATGTCATCGATGGGAACTCCATTCTCACACTTGACTGGATGGACCTCACTGGTCACGACTTCTCACTAGAACTTCAGGAAAATCCGTCCTGTAGCAAGTCACTAGCGAGCATCAGATTAATTTATACATATATTACTTTG